ACTGCCCCCACGGTGGCGCCGCCCTTGGTTGAGGAATCAATAGGTACCTACTGAGGAAATATCGAACTTTTCAAACGAAAGTAACATATTGATATATTGTACAAAATCCCTTGTGGATGATTCTTATTATATAGTTGATGCAGAAACAGTCGTTTTCCTTTCATTTGTTTTATATTTCAGTTCAAAGTTCAGTTCTGATTGACTGATTTAGGAATGCATGTGAAGGTGGTACAATACATTGATTGCATTTTATTCTACAAATACTTCAAAAGGAAAAGACAAACCTGAAGTTTCTGTTGCTGATTGCACTTCTCTGTGAATTTCAAGAATTTTAGATTAAGTATTCATTAGAAGTTTTATTTAAGCTTGATGTTGTTTCTTATCCTAGCTGGTCCTAGCATCAGCCCATGATGTGTAAACTTGTTTCTATGTACCCATAATACAAACCACATGGTTTGATATTTGCAGATTGAGGTGCACAGCCTCAATGCAAGCATTTGCATTTTGCAACAAGCATTTACCTATATTATTGAGCCATTTCTTGACTTCCTGTTGGAAGTAAAGGGCAAATACTCCAAAGTGATCATTTTGATTTTACAAATATTAAATCTTTGTGGTCTATATCAAAGCACCCATCTTGCTGACGCTATCAGGTAAGGACAGAGATCAGTCTAAATATGTGCATGCATCTCAATGACTTGAAACAATCCAAATCTTCATTGGCGCTTATATCAATGCAAATCTGCTATTTTCATTGGCTTATTCCCATGCCTTAGATTTCTGCATGGCAGAGGAAGCATTTATTCAAAGGTAATTAAAGCTTTAAAATAGTAGGGATATGCGAGATGACGTTTTCATTATCAATGCATGACTTCATTCCAGTAGCCAAATCAGTCCCTTGCAGTTCTGCATTTCTCGACCTGCCAACGGTGGCCATGGCGGCTGGTAAGGCCAAGGGTAAGGCCCCGGTCCGGCAGTTGGCAGTAGCGCCACCTACACTGAAGGTCGGCGGATCCCGAGGCCACGGGCCGGCCTGGCCCGGCCGTGGCGGACGGGCCGGGGAGCGGGCGGCAGGGGGTGGGGAGGGGTATCCGGGGACGACTGGCAGCATTGCACTTTATAAACAAGGTTGGTATAAATAATTTGCCTGGAGTATCCACGAGTCATTTTAAGGCAGGCGCGACGTTACCCAAATATAACTTGCTTTTAATTGGAGAGTTGGTAGGCAAATTAAGGCATTTGCGTGTTGCTCATTGACTAGCCCTCTGTTTGGAATAACACCCGATAATGATGCCCACAAGTGCAGTGCTAGCCTGCTTTTTTGTCTGTTTTAGGTATACATAGAAATGATTGAACGCCCTGCTAACCTAAATTTGTTCGTAGGTAATTCTTACGATTTGCTTGAAGTGCCGACCTCCGAAGGGATAGTCCTTTCGAAAGCTGATAATTGCGTCCGGCTTTTATTTTAGGAAAATAACACCCATTGTATTCATAAGCATTGCTGATTTAACAGCTAAGTAAGTTGAAAATTTCAATTACCTTGCCTTTGTGTAGATGAAGGAGAGCAGCCACTATAGCACACACGTCTAGCCGATCCCCTCACAGCCTCCACACTGCTGCCCATTGCCCAAGGACCGACCGTAACATCTGTGTGCCATAAAATGGTACAACGGCGTCTTTTATCAGGCGGACCCCAATGCGAACGCCACGCGGACCGTCCGTAATCGAACGGTTGGTCCAGGACGACTGACGCAGGGCTTAGCTGATTTTTCCTACATGCCGGGGTATGTCTTAAGCACAGCACGAGCCGGGCAGTAAAACTATGACCAAGAAACTGTCGGTGTCAAAATGCCATGTTATTTGATAGGCCGGGCAGGAAACAAAAGTTTACTGCCCGAGTTTACTGCCCAGGGCAATGACCTCTAAACTACAGTTTATCGCATTAGCCCAGAGGTATAATTGATAGGGAATGTATAATTGACATCATTATTGCATGATATTTGCCGCGTAAAATTAGAAAACTAACATTTTTTGGTAAAAAGAATATCTGCTCTGCTTATCAAGGGTTTTGAAATACTTAGTATTGGTTACAAAGCCGAAATTATGGCAAGATATGCTCCTATTAATCGAAATCCGTTATCGCTTGCTTCTTATCTTCGTTTGATATGTCCACTGATACCTTGGGCCTAAGTTATTGCGTTATTATTTGACAGTTGTAGTCCTTTCCTCGAAACAAACATGTAAAATATGGAAAATATAATGTATTTCACGAAAGTTTAGCCATAGGTCATCAACAAAGTACGATTACATAAATAAAGATTCTTGCAAGAGCACTGGAAAATTCACGTTTAATCACTAGGAATATTATACCTTCTACCTTCTTCTTGTTCTTATGTCGTGGCAAATTATTCATGCATGATGTTCCTTGGATATCCAATTGTTGTGCCATTCTGAGTTGATATTTTCAGGCGCGATTCTTTTTGTAGTGAGGTATTTTGATGCATTTTCTTCTATAAATTTTCTTAAAGCTTTATCCACAGCAATAGCGCAATCACTGTTCGGAAATTATGGACAAAACAATTGTATAAAAGTGTCACCAAAACCTGTCGAAACTACTTAGCATGTATGCGGCATGTAGGAAAAATCTTACTGACCTCAGCCGTACGAAATTATTTGGAAACTCGGTTTGCAAAATTTGACTCCGGCCCTCGTGCTTCGCACTCGGGCCTACGTCAATTTTGCAAACCTCGTTTCCAAATAATTTCGTCGGCCCGGTCAGTAATATATATTCCTACATGCCGGGGTATGTCATAAGCACAGCACGAGCCGGGCAGTAAAACTATGACCAAGAAACTGTCGGTGTCAAAATGCCATGTTATTTGATAGGCCGGGCAGTAAACAAAAGTTTACTGCCCGGGTTTACTGCCCAGGGCAATGACCTCTGAACTATTGTTTATCGCATTAGCCCAGAGGTATAATTGACAGGGAGTGTATAATTGTGACATCATTATTGCATGATATTTGCCTCGTAAAATTAGAAAACTGACCTTTTTGGTAAACAATATCTGCTCTGCTCATCAAGGGTTTTGAAATATTTTTGTTCAAAAGTTTGTAGCCCTTCCCTCGAAAAAAAGCATGTAAAATATGTTAAATATAATGTATTTCACGAAGTTTAGCCATAGGGCATCAACAAAGTACGATTACATGAATAAAGGAAAGATTCTTGCAAGAGCACTGGAAAATTTACGTTTAATCACTAGAAATATTATACTTTCTTCTTGTTCTTATGTCGTGGCAAATCATTCATGTATTATGTTCCTTGCCGATATCAACTTGTTGTGCCATTCGAGTTGATGTTTTCAAACGTGATTCTTTTTGAAGTAAGGAGTTTGATGCATTTTCTTCTATCAATTTTCTTTAAAGCTTTATCAACAGCAGTAGCGCAATCACTGTTAGGAAATTATGGACAAAACAATCGTATAAAAGTGACACCAAAACCTGTCGAAACTGCTTAACAGGTATGCGGCATGTAGGAAAAATCTTACTGACCTCAGCCGTACGAAATTATTTGGAAACTCGGCTTGCAAATTTTGACTCCGGCCCTCGTGCTCCGCACTCGGGCCTCCGTCAATTTTGCAATCCTCGTTTCCAAATAATTTCGTCGGCCCGGTCAGTAATATATATGTCTGGTCTGACACAAGCTCTATAAGCATTGGTAAACCATCAGTTCAATCGTTTTGAGTTGACCTCGCGATTAAAGCATAAAGGCTAGCCATTAGTCTATCCCAGAAACAAATACACCCTTCGCATTTGTTCGCGGCATTCGTGATAACTGCGGTTCAAAAGCATGGGAGCACAGTATAAACACAACCAGTATTCCAATGGGCATTGTTGGGTCCAGATGGCAGAAAGATGGCAGAAAGTTTTTGAAGGTATAAAAGGAACACTCCCCCAAATGCAACTTCAAAATCCAAAATATTCTGTTTCCACTTTTTGATCCTTTTTCAGCTCTTGAAAATACTTCACCTTTTATCTAACAGAACTTGATTGAGTGTCTTTCAAAGCCAGAAAATTGTAAAGGTTGTATAAATAAGGGCTTCGTGTGCTGCTCAGCCAAAAAAGTTTACAATTTGCCTGGAGACAGAGCCAGTATGCCAGCTTATACAGTTGGAGACAGCGTAGACATTTTTTTCACCTCTGGATCAAAACTAACATGATATTCGTGATCAGCACCCAAAAAAACTACTTAGAAGCTACACTTTACGACGTTCTAACAGGTCCCGATTTTTCCGACTTTTTGGTCATTGACCTGACCTGGAAGGTCAACCAATGGCCAAGGACCTTAAAATTGAGTATCATCGGCTTTCTCTCGTCACGGGCAACACGCTCGTTTTTCCGCTAAGCTCTACCTCGATCAGGGGTCAAACGGCAAGGGGGGACCGACGGACCACCCTTATGTATACGTTCCCTTTTATACGTTCGTGGCTGGCAAAATACCAATACGGGCGAGGGTTAAATCAATGTAAACACGGCAGTACTGTTTTGGGGGCTGATCGGGGCCACCTGTCTCTATCCTCCGGTCCCCAGGTGCAGCTGCCGGTGGCGGGACTGACTGTATCCAGCCGTCCCCACCAGCTGCAGATGCTGGTGGGCGGTGGCGGAACTGACTGTATAATATCCTGCAGTCCCCACCACCTGCAGATGTTTGTGCCTGTCATTGAACGTATCCGGCGTTCCCCACCAGTTGCAGATGCTGGTGGGCGGTGGCGGAACTGACTGTATAATATCCTGCAGTCCCCACCACCTGCAGATGTTTGTGCCTGTCATTGAACGTATCCGGCCGTCCCCACCAGGTGCAGATGTTTGTGCCTGTCATTGAATGTATCCGGCCGTCCCCACCAGGTGCAGATGTTTGTGCCTGTCATTGAATGTATCCGGCGTCCCCCACCAGGTGCAGATGTTTGTGCCTGTCATTGAATGTATCCGGCGTCCCCCACCAGGTGCAGATGCTGGTGGCCGAGATGGCTCGCTCGGAGCGGCGGCAGCGGCGCAGTCTGGTGCCGGAGCTGACCGTCTCGGAGCTGGAGCTGCTGGCGCGGCTGGAGGGCGGCCAGCAGCCGGCGCGCGCCGCCGCCGTCGGACGTATGGCCAGCGTGGACGGCGGCGGCCACTCGGAGCCGGGCGGCCGGCCGGCGCGGCCCCAGCTCGGCCGCATCGCCAGTCTGCGCGAGCGCTCGCGGCAGCGCGCCACGCCGCCGCCGGGCCGCCGCGACCCGGCCGCGGCCGTCGACCCAGGCGGCGGCTCGCCCAGGGAGCGGCGCCGGCGGCCCGGGCGTGCGCAGTCGGACGCCGCGCCGCTGTAGACGGACCGGACGGGCGGCAGCCGGTGCTGCCTCGGTCCGGCGGGAGCGAATATTTGTGTCGAGAGTTGGCTGTTCCGTCCTATTTTTGTCAGTAGGTGTGCGAGTTTTCACACTGTGTGCTAGGATGCAGCAATTTGTCGATGTCATTCACAAGGTCATATTTGTTGGAGAGATGAGGCGAATGCAAATACTGTCAACATATCCTCTGTAGCACTCACTGTCTTCTCTTTATAGTCACTAACTTCACTAGCTTTACTAACTTCAGTCACAGTGTTGACTGTTGAAGACTGAAGTCACTAACTTCAACACAGCATCTATAATATCCATCTTTCTAGATTCAGCTCGATCCGCAGCAGCAGAGGGACTTCAGGATCTATGCGGTAGACAGAGAACCTATCAGACAGCTACAATAGGCAATATCTTTCGACAGATGGAGCAAACCTCCTCCTCTTGACTGGTAGCGGTGGACAGATTCTATCGGACAGCTACAGTAGACAGAACCTCTTACCGGTAGCGGTAGACAGAACCTATCGGACTGCAAGCAGTAGGTACAGCCCTCTGCAGACTGCGTGGTAGGTATTCTTTTTTCGACAAAACCGAGAATAACGCGAATACTATGCTATCGGTCACCCGGAAATCGTAGCAGCAAGATGCGCGAGACTCCGCAGCTTAGATTGGCATTATCACCGTATGCATTTTCCATCCAGTTTGGCAACAAAACCCAAAAGTTTATATTTGCCCCCAAAACGAACTTTTACATTTTGTTGCCACACAAGGCGTATGCTTTGTTTATTGATAGGCCCTATCGAAGGAGTGGAGCATGGCGCATCTATTTGCAGTGAGTTTCGACCGACTGATAACATGACTTTTGAATTATTATCAGTTTTGTCGGAAAAAGAATACCTACCACGCAGTCTGCTGAGGGCTGTACATAGACAGACAGAACCTTTGACAGGACTATCTGTAAGAATCTTGGACAGGACCAGGACCTCTGCAGGCCGCGGGAGTGCGCTTTCTCTGGGTAGCTCGGGTGTGTGGGCGCCTTCCTAAGCTGGGTGGCGACTGGGGTGTGCCTCTGATAGGAAGGCTGTTCATTCAGCAGTCAGACATGGTAACGGTGCCCACTGGCGGAATGAGACGCGAAATTGGAGAAAGTGGGACGGAATAATGAACGGAGCTTGGCGGGACGTCCCAATCGGTTGACACTTGAGTCACTCGAGGCACTCGAAGGTTAAGTTACGCTTCAATTATTGAGCTAAAAGCTGTATGAACAATCTCGGTAAATTTATCTGTAGACAGGTAGGTACTGTTATGATAAAAGGTGAACACCTAACGTTCATCTCTAAAGTAAACAATGAAACATCCAAGACAAATTTCATACCTCACGACTAAAGCCCGATTAGGGTATCCCTAAAACGCACAAATAATTTAGCCGTGGGTGCAAGCTTGTGCAATGGCCAGTGCCCCCCCTCCCCCTCCCCAATGCAGTGTGGTTAAAGACCGTGGTAAAACTACATGCATGTCCTCAATAAGATAACTTGATTTCACCATAATTGTGATTGCTGGCATCTCTCCATGACCTTCTCAACACCTGACACTTCAAACTCCACGCCATAAGCTGCATAAACTACAATGAGGAGTGGGGCGCAGATCGCTGCTGTAGAGCAGAGTTGTAACTCTGACCGACTGAAGTGTCGTTACGTAATCGTACCGTCCGGAGCGGAGTACGACGCGTCCTGCCGACAGCCGTCCAGGCACGTTTACGGGCATTCGCCGTCCAGGGCAGGTGGCTATCGCAGTTTAGCCGCACGATCTGTGGTAATAACCGGGAAGTATGCCGTGTAAAGCAACATGGATCTCATGACTGGGCATTGACAGTGCTAAGCGCGTGTATAGAGTGACCATGGAGGTGTAATTATCGTACACTTCATCAATGGTAAAGTGCATATGTGTCGCTGATAGAGAAAATGTGTAGAATAGTCAATCACAAACTTGGCTAGTAGGCGGTTCCACTTCGTTGTATTTAGATTGCAGCGAGGCATGCATACATTTTACACAGCTAAGAATTATCGCCGCCTTAATAGTGAAATGATGCATCACGAGTAACTGAAATATAGATCAAATATATGTATGAATGGAACGGTTTTTATGGTTGGAAGCAGTGGCACGTCCACAGTTTCTCAAATTCCTAACTGAAAAGGAACGTTTTTATACGCAAAATGAAGCATCGCTGTGAGTTTTGGGCACGTGTGAGGTCGAGATCGCCGACGGGCGGACGCCGCACGGATTCGCCACGGCTCCGGTCACGGCTCGGGTCACGGCTCCGGTCACGGCTCGGGTCACGGCTCGGGTCACGGCTCCGGGACGGCGTCCTCCTCTTCGTCGTCCGGGTCGCCGCCGGGCTCCGGCGCCGCCTCGGCGTGCATCGGAATCAGCTCGCCACCGACGTCGGCGTGCTCGGCGTCCAGCTTGGCCTTGCGCAGGTACCAGAGGTAGACGGCGCCGCCCGCGCAGCCGGCCAGCATGATGCTGCCCACGATGATCATGGGTCGGGTGCCTGCCGAGCCGGTCATGGCGCCCGTGGTTGGCGGAGACGCCTTCACCTGCAGGAACGGCGAGCCCGTCGAGCCGGTCTCGGCCGTGAAGCCGAATTTCTCTCGGATGGTGGTCGACGGAGGGTAGATGGTGGACGGCAGGCTGTTGTCGCCAGTGTCGCCCGTCCGGTTGGCATACTCGGTTTCGTTCAGACCCACGGACTGGTCCGTCTCTCGCGCCACACGAACCAAGCTGAAAAGCCGGGTATTGAGTCCATGAATAGGTGAATGACCTCAGTTGATCCCGAGCGAGTAGCGACTGGTTACGTTGAAATGTCGCGGGAACTCCGATAAAAGTTACAATGTTGAATTTTTAAGTTGATTGCAGTACTGTTACAAGTCGCAAAATTAAATGCATATATCCGTATGCACTAATAAACTCCGGGATAGGCACACGCGTTTATATTTTCACATTCGACATTTCCGATTTTATTTAGGATGATAGCTGTTTTTACTTGGCCCAATTAAAAGCTCTTGCATTATGCATGCAGTGGTCGAAAGCGCATTTACGACAGTTATCTTAACATAGTTTTTTTAACGACAGTTTATTGAGTTGGTTCTGATAATTTTAGCCACGGCTTAGGCCCCGGCGAAGGGCGCTTACCTTCCGTCTTCATGCGGACTGCACAAAACATGTGACGCTTCATGTAACATTAGGGCCGGTACGAAAGCGAGCATCCATATCTTCGTCGGCATCAATGAAAACATATTAGAAATATTGTTCACATATTCATGGGGTTAAGAGTACATTATTAACAGATGTTAATTTCTCAGAGATGCAGAGAGGTTATGAGTAGAAACAAAAATAACAAAGGAAACTATAAAATGCTTTTGAGAATCAAAGGAACGCCTTTTTCGTTTTCATTTTTAAGATGACCTTTTTCTGAAAAATTATTCCAAGCACCCGCCGTAGTTTTTAAACCACTTCACGCAAAAAGTTGTTATGCTCCTTGTTGGGTCAAATCCAAGATTCTTGTCAAATCGACGTTTTTTTTTTTTTTTGCTCGTGTGCATTGCATTGCACTTAACGCTTGGAAAGTAATTTAGCCCGGTATATTCAATATAGTATCATCGGACTATAGCATAGACATGGCTGTTCGTTGTGCTTTACAAGAATATCTTAACAAATATCTTTTAATTTATTTCAAATGGACTACGTCATGGCGAATATGAACAATTACCCTGTCCATCTGATAGCATCTGATTCCCTTTCCGTAACATTTCGTCAAATTCGGCCATAGGTCAACAGTTTGACCTCCAAAGGGCAAAACCGTCAAAAGCACAAGTTTTAACGCTTTAACTGCAAGAGCTACCCATGCTTCAATAAGTTTAACACAACACTTGCATTACACCGGTTTTACCATTCTTGTGTTTCTCTTGCCAACATGTGTCGAATGATATCGTACAACTATTCTTTTTCAGCTAATTGAACTTACATTATTTTTCAACTAATTGACCTTATAAAAACCAAGCTGAAAAAGCGACGCACCTAAAATGTTAGCAACTTCAAGCTGATGTGTATCGCCAGACTGGAACTATTGTATTTTGCGCTTTGTGTCCGTAACTTCACCTATCAAGAATTGTTGCTGAGTGTTCCCATAGTTATTTATAGAGGGACCCACGTTGCTTCTGTGCACACTAGTATGTAGGTACCTGGACTTTACTTAAAAAACAAACATTTACTTCCGTCAGAATGATAGGAATATAGAAAACATGTACGAAAGAAAACATCAGTATATTATTCACGTCACTTAGCTGATGTGTCATAATATAGCTGACTGTTCGGTGTCCATTTCGATTAACCTGCAGCTAGAGCTGAGAAGCTGAGCCGTTCACGGTTCACAGAACAGTAGTACATAAATTTACATTGCAGCTATCGATAACATTTCAGGCCTCCATAATCCACAGCACAGTCGGCAGAGCGGCGCCTCACTCCACCCTCAGCAGTGTCGGGGTCATCCCCACAGGAGAGCTCCGGAGCTCCCTTCCTCTGGCCACACCTCCTCACCTTTTGACACGCACATAGGTCCTTCGTTCGACAACTCTTCATAGCGTATAACTACATAGGCGACGCGGCGACAAGGCGCCGAGTTTGAGCACATACAGGGCGCGCCGCGGCGGCGGCAGCGGGCCGGCAGAGCCCCAGCCGGCAGCACCGTTAAAAATGTCGCTTGGCTCGGCGGCCGGCGGCGCGCCGGTCCAATCCGGGTCAGCGCGATCCGGGTCAGCCGGCCCGGCCCGGCGGCGGGCGGGCGGGCGGGCGGCGCTGACCGGTCCGCGCCGCGCCGAGCCGCTCTCTCACACACATACACACACGCCACGCACCCGTTCTCAATGTAGGACCCTGGCTGGGCGGCGGCGGCGCGCCGGTCGCTCGGCCGCGGCCAGTCAGCCGGACGGCCCGTCGCTCGGCCGGTCGCTCGGCTAACGGTGCGTCGGCCGGCGGCGGCTTCTTGACCCGACGTCGCTCAGCCTCTCGCCGGCCCGTGGAACCTGCCGCCAGAGAGCTCCTGTCAGACGAGAACATCCGCCACCCGACCCATATCGTTGGCATACAGTAAAATGCATGACAAACTCGGCCGGTGATAAATTTTCAAGACCTCAGTCCCTCAGTCCTTCCTGATTTTTGTACTCGGCCTTCAGCCTCGTTAAAAAATCCTGTAAGGACCTCGGTCTTAAAAATATATTTACACCAGCCTCGTTCAGTACGATCATTACTCCACTGAGACCATTCAGGGCAGTGAGCTGAGAGGGTAACGGCT